CGTTTTTGTTGTTCCCACGCTCTTGCCTTTTTTCGCTTGTGCCACGCCCGACGCATCTGGGCCCCTGGGTCCCTCTCCTGTGGGCCCTTTCCCCCCTCCTCCCCGCGGGATGGAGCTCGGGGCAATGCGAAGGGGGGGGGGGCAGACCGGGCGCGCCAGGGCGAGCTGAGCTCCCTTAGGTTTTCCTGCCCCTGCCCTCTCGATCCCCTCTGCTTCCCCCGCTGATCCTCTGGTTTCTTCTCCTGGCCTCTGGCTCCAGTCCTGGATATCCGCTCTCCTCTTCCTGCTCCTCCTCCTCGTCCTCCCCTTCCTCCTGCCGAACTGGGCGGGCGGGGGGTCATGTGAGCGCACCAGCGGGGGCCGCAGGTGGAGCTCCCCATGAGGTGACGACCCTCCAGGCCTCCTGGATGGGGTCGGAGTAGATGGGGTCGGAGGATCGCGCCGCATCGGCGATGCATCGGCGATGTATCGGCGATGCCTCAGCGATGCGGCTCGATGTGGGGCCCAACTTTCTCCACGCCGACGTCGCCCATGCATCGCCGACGTCGCCAGTGCATGGCCGATGCATCGCCGATGTATCAGCGATGCGGCGAGATCCTACGACCCCATCTACTCGGACCTCATCTAGGAGGCCTCTAGACCCACGTGAGGGGCATTCTGGCATGAGCGTAGGGGATCGCATGTGGACTCGCCCTGTGGGGCTGCAGGTGGAGCTCCCTGTGGGGCCACGATTCTCGTGACGAGTATGCCAGAATGAGCGGGGGGCCGCGTGTTGACGCACCCACTAGGCCAGCAGGTGCAGCCCCCTATAAGGCCACGTTCCTCGTGAGGATTGTGCCGAGATGATCGGGGGACGGCATGTGGACGCACCCACTGGGGCCGCAGGTAAGGCTCCGTCTGGGGCCAAGGTCCTCCTGAGGAGTGTGTCGAAGCGTGAGGGGGAGCCACAGGTGGGCGCACCTGTTGTAGAGCTTCCTATGGTGGCCCTTCGGTGGAGCTCCCTATGGTGCCACAGTCCTAGCAAGGGGTGTGCTACATGTGCCGTTTGGACGCACCCAGCTTGGCCGCAGGTGGAGCTCCCCATGGGGCCACGACCCTCGTGAGTGTCGTGCCGAGATGCGCGCAGAGCCCCATGTGGACGCACTGATTGCGGGCGTAGGTGGAGTCACTTATGAGGCCACGATCCTCGTGATGAGTATGCCAACACTGTCGGGAGCCACGTGTGGACGTACCCACTGTGGCCGTAGGTGGAGCTCCCTGTTGGGCGACGGTCCTGGTGAGATGTGTGATAGAATGGGCGAGGGGGTTGCATGAGGACGCACCTTCTGGCGCTCCCTCCGGCGGCACGATCCTCGTGAGGAGTGTGCCGAAATAGACGGGGAGGCCGCATGTGGATGCACACGCTGGGGACGGTGGAGCACCGTGCAGCCACGAAACGTGGGATGAGTGCAGCGATGCTGATTCTGATGGTAATCAAGATGACGAGGATGCGGATGACGATGACGATGAGGATGAGGACATGCTGAGAGCGGTGGCGAGGGAAAGCCTGGGAGGAGGAGGTGGTGGGAGACGCTGGGCGTCGCGAATTCGAAACGACGACCCAGGTTCACACAGGAGGTCTGGGAAACACCAAACACGCAGCACTCCAACACCCCCTGTGACAAGCACATTGGGCGGCGGACCGAGTGGCCTTCTGCAAATCCCGCAGCCGTGCCTCTGGGTCGGGAGCACGAGGCATCTTCGAGGCTTCTTGGGAACCTTTGCGAAGCCTCTCGGGGGCCGCCTGGGGGCAGTTTGGGGGCCTCTATCGGAGTCTCTTTGGGATGTGTTGGGGGCTTCTGGGACTTGTCGGAGGCCTCCTGGGGGTCTGCTGGCGGCCTGGCACTCGAATGGCGCAATCGCGCTAGCGACGCTGACACACAAATCAGCTGTGTCTGGCAGGTGCCAATTCGCGATCGATTCTTTCGGGGCTACTCTTAGCTCCTGGTGTCGGTTCTTTTTTCGAGCGTGGATTCGTTTCGCAGCTGGCATTTTGCGGTCGAGTGTTTAGGAACGAGTATGTGTTCTTTGCGTCAGCTCTTTCTGTTAAGCTCTACTCTTTTTGGCGACTCGGTTCTGAGAATCGATTATGTTTGGCGACTCTGTTCTGGGGGGCGATTAGTTTGGCGATTAGGTTATGCGGATCGATTATGTTTGGCGATTCGGTTGTGTGTGGATCAATAATGTTTGACGATTGCGTTTGGGGAATCGAGTCTTTTTGGCGATTCTTTCTCCGGTGAGAATATTTGGCCTGGTAGATGTCGGCTAAAGCGCAGCCCGCCTCACGCGGTGTTTGAGTTGGACCGAGCCCGACAACGACGACGATGCTGTTAGAGTTGGATCCGGCAGATGTAATGTTGCATTAGAGTTGGATCGAGGCCTAGTGCGATTCAGTTCGAGCTGGACCCAGCCCAGCCTTACCAGGATTCTAGCAAAGCTGGAGAGAGTCCTATATGGATCC